CAGAAATGGAAAGGCTTCCTGACTGTTTTCCTCATGTTCTCTGCAAGGGGTGATGGACCTCTTAGTCTCAAGTTTGTCTTGCCACACATTAAGCAAGAGTTTGCTGTAACTGGAGGTTTACCATGCGCACTGAGGGGTACTTAAACACTTGGGATTTTCATTTCTCTGTACTTAACGGTTAATTTGGGCTTTCCTTCTAACAGATTAGCTTTCCAGTAAAACAGCAGTTGTCACCAAAATGGCTAGTGGAAGTGGCTAGTGGATAGTGCCTCAGTTTTGATAAAATATGAACCTTCAAATGATTGTTAAGTTTCTCAGAACTTCATGGTGAATTATGCATTAAATATTTGTTCAACACTGAAATATCGTCTTACTTCACAATTAAAATACTCTAGGATTTGAATTCCACTGAATTTCTGACTGTAGCCCTTTCATTCCAATACAGAACAAAAGTAACCTTCTAAGAATCTGGGTATGTCTGAACAGAAATTGTTTTACCCAACTCACTCTAGGTTTGGTTACGCTTCAAGGACACACTGAATCCCCCTTTCTGTATCACACGGTGAAAGATACAACTTGAATAGGATGCTCGCTTTGTCAGTCCCGATGTCTTGTCAAGCTGATCGCTAGTCAGTCATCAATTAGGAAGGCAGGAGGTTGGCATGGGAAGGGCACTGGTTTTTTTTCTTATTACACATGTTCACAGACCAATAGGTAACAAAGACCTTTCACAGGTTCTATTGGTAGTTTTCCCTGAAAAACAAACCCCAGTGATCCAGTTGGTTTCTCTATTTGATGGTGCCATGCATTTATTTAAACTCAGTAATGTATTTGTGAATGTCTTAATTCTAGCGATTTCCTAACCATTTTCTCCATTACACCTTTTCTTTCATTTCCTTTATAGTATATGGAACATTATGCTTTTTCTTTCAAGATTAGTGTGTCAAAACATATTTAAAATAGAACTTGAACTAGATGTTTTTTCAGTGTAAATCATGTGTGTATAATAGCAGAGATGCCCGGTGCATGCAGGAGTAGTCACAGTAGGCAGAATGCAAAAGGAGAGTCAAAGATAGTTGTCAGAAGTTGTTCAGAGATTCAGTGGCAAAATAACACAGAACTTCTCACACGTCTTCACTTCCTGTTCTCTAACTGTAAGTTAGCGCAGCTTCCTGATGTAATGGTCAGACCTCCCTCTTTTTTTTTTTTTTTTTCAATTGGCTCAACTCCACAGGCCATCAGTCCAAATCTCTTCTTGCCTATGGACTATTACAGTGTGTGCAGAGCACTTGAAAATAAAAAGGCATCTGTGGCTGTATTTGTGATGTGACTTCACATCCCTGCTTCCAGTAGAGAAGGAGCTTTGTCAGCATGACTAGTAGGTTGGAATTTCACACTTGGGTTAGTTGTGTTTGAGAGGGGAAAGAAACAGGTTTGTTGGTTGTTTTTGTGGTCTCAAAGTGTGATGCAGATTATAGCTCCAGAAGAAGGCTGAAGAATGTAGTCATGCTCTCATACTGCCTGTTATGCCAGCCATTAACTGCTGGAAGAAGATCAGTATTGTGCTCATTGTCATTAAAAGGAAGAAATTAAACCTCCCTTTGTAGAAAAATCATACAAGGGAGACGTGCTTTTGCAGAGTGAGTCACCTCCTAGCTTTAACTTCTCCTGTTTAAGTGAAGGATAAATCCGCTCTTGATCTCATGAACAATGCAGGTAGGTAGGGGGTTGCTTTTTTTTTTTTGCTTTTTGCTTCTTCTTTCTTTGCTTTCTAATCAAGTACACCTCATGACCCACTGCTGCTCCAAATCCATGAATATATGTATGAATGTATGAAAACTCTATGCTTTCAGGACATGTTATATAAAAACACTCCAGCATATCTAGATTGAGTATGTATATTCAATTTACACAGCTGTTTTTGCTAAAAGAGTCTTTGCAGAGCCAGGCCTGATGTCAGAATCAAATATTTTGTAGTTGTTTGACTTCTAGTGAACAGTAAATTAGCATGTTGGCTTTAAAATATTTTGCTGCTAGTGACTGTACAGCTCACTCTGTACCTGTCACACCCCACAAAGTACTAACATTTACCAAACACCACACATACCAGGAACTAGCAGAGGCAGAGCCAGCTCATTTCTCCCCTAAGAAGTCACAGAGTTGTTGCCCATAGGCCATCCATGATAAGGTCTTAACTGTTTTCTGGCTTTGGATAAAGGTCTGTGTTCTGAACCCTCCTAAGCATACAGCTTCTACCACAGGAGTAGTTAATAAGCACGGCTGCCGTTTTCTCTTGAAATGTTTCAGCCACCTCCCTGCTGGCGTAAGAGAATTCCCAGAAGTACATTTCACAGTGCTTTTTTGAGACTCATTTCAGTCCCGAGTGATCAGACTGTCAGCTAGCCCTGCAGATGCTTTCATACATTGTAAATAGAAACCATGGAAGTTCCTTTCAGAGCACAAACGCTGACTACATTTTCTATGATAATCTATTTCCATTCCCTGTCTTGAATTCATGTGCTGCTAGAAACCCTCCCTTTATACCATGACTTATCTCTTTAAGTGTCTGCTATGTAACTATGTAAATCCTGGTGGCGTATCCCTGATAGAGAGATTGTCATTGCATTGCTACTGGTAACCAGTGGTTATGTCACTTTCCCTCGCTTGAATAGGCTTTGACTCATAGCGGTTTTCAGGACAATGGTTATAAAATAACACACTGAGGGGTTGCCGAGACTATAGTTTTGCAATAGAGACAACTGTCGACTCCAAGGGTACAAGAAAGCATTTTTCTTTTCTTTTTTCTTTTTTTTTTTTTTTCTATTAAGGGTTTTGTTCTTCTGTAGCGTGAGTTTTTCTTGCATGGAAGTTTAGAAAACCAGAATTCTCTGTTAGCAAGATTGAATCTGGTGGGAAAACCCCATTACTTCTGAGCACAAACATTAATTCTTTCTAACCTGTTCTGAAGCATTGCTTAACTGAAATTTTAAGTGCTTCAGTTGTCCTACCTTTCTTTGAATTATTTGATGGCAGGCTGTGCTATACTTTGGATTATTGTCTGACTAAAGTGATGGCAGAAAGAATTACTGAAATGAGCCGTTATTCCATTAACCTTTTTGTTTTTCTAATTAAAGGACTTGCCTGGGAACAATGGTTAGGTGTTGAACTTTTTCTTTCTTTCTTTCTTTCCTTTTTTTTCCCCCTGAAGATTCAAGAGCCCTCGAGACAGAGGCCAAATTTTTGGAAGGTGCAAAATGTCTTAGCGTCACAGGAATTAAAGACAATTGAAGGGTCTGATGGCTGGCTTCTGCTTCCAGGTATATATCTGACTTTCTGTATAAGCTTAAGAATTGCCTACACATGGACACATAAACATCACAAAATTAGCCCTCATTATTAAAGTGTGTATTATTAAGAGTTAAGGTCAGAATTTAAGTGGCTTTAAATTAGTTTTTCACTTTAAATCTAAGTTCATCTAAAGTTTCTCAAGTATACTCTCTGAACAAGGTCTTACAAAAGTCACGTTATGTCTCCTTTCTTCCATCTTTTGCCCTGTCCCTTCAAAGCCCATAGGCAGGGCTTGTCCCTTAATACCTGCTTAGCTTACACAGTCTAAGCTGGGGAGTCCAGACACTTCTGTAAGTAAGAAATGGGAAATGAATTCCTTCATCCCCTCTCTTGAGCTTTGTGAGGAGGCCAGTAGTATCAGTATTAGAATATCCTCAGAAATTTCAAATTCTGCAGTGGATTTTAAGACAGTGTGAAAAGTGCCCTTTATTTTTAGGGTATTTGAAAATGTATATACATACATCATGGACATTTCTAGAAACTGTAGCTGTAGATCTGCCTAAAACTGCAAACAAAAAAAATCAGACAACTTCTTTTAAAACAACTGCTTCTATGCTATGGTAGCACAGGTCGTTTTCTCCCTAGGCTACATTTAGCACAGTTACACAACTAGTGCAATCCTTTCATATAATGAAAATTGGTGGGAACATGCAGATTGACGTGGTCAACGCAGCTGGTTTTAAATCAAAAAAACCCCATACATCATAAGGCATGTGCAGGTGTTTCTATGCAATGTGCCACACTGCGTGACCAAATAAACATGACATTAGGAGGAAAATGTTCTGCTTACTTGTCCTAGAAGCACGATTACCTGACATTAAAATAGCTTCACTACTACGTAGATTCGCTTAAAGAGAGCGATTGACTGTGTAACTACAGCCTTTAAAATTCCATTTCCAGCAGGAAACGGCATTCTCGTTTCTCAAAATCGCTTTGGACTGCTCTTCCTTTTGTATTACCGTAGGTACCCAAATCCGGGGGTGAATTCAGTTTCTCACCGTGGTGTCACTGCAGACCAGCGGGTCAAACGTAACTTTCGAGCACAGTTCCCAGCTGGGTGCCTTCACGGGGAGCACAGCTCTGCCGAACCCGACAGCCCCCCCGCGGAGAAACACAGCCCGGGCCGGGCTGTCAGGGCGGCAGGCGGGCGGGCGAGCGAGCGCCGGCAGATTTCGGCTGTGCCCGAGACCGATCGAAGCGGACGGCAGCAGCGGGCGGTAGCGAGGCGGAGCTGCTCCCGCTCCCGACGGGACTCGCGCACCGGCCCGGCCC